AATTAATTACGTACAAAACCAGCTCAAAAATAACAATAGGCATACTGTTCTAATTAATTAAACTTGAGACGCATCATGCGCGCGCTTGTTTTCCATCCAGAATGTCATTGCTTTGCTGTTGACTGCCTCTGTTTGCACAGTTGAATTTTGGTATGCTAGAAGGGCACTGCTCTGAGAGTACATCAGTGGCTGGCCGGCCACTAATGGAGGCTGCCGGCCATGTGCCTGCTGCAAAAGGGAATTGCTGGCCATCAGTGAAAGGCTGTCGGCCATTAGTGTATGGCTTGCCAGCCACTGATGAACAACCTCATTTTACTACAACAGAGCACAACACAGAGCAGGAAAGAAGTAGTTTCACAGGTTGTATGTATTATGCACCACTCCTTATCATCAAAACATCTCCAAGGAGTGGTACTCTTGGCTCCAAAACCACCAACCAAACATTTTCAATGCATGATAGCCAAAGAACCAAGGAATATAACTTCATTGTATGCAAAAAAAAACAAGACTCAAGACCATCACCCTATCATGTGTGATTAAGGGATATGGAGACCAAAGAGATTGGCTCATTTTATCACTTTGAATGTGAAATGCTCCAATCTTCCTTGTGTTCAATATAACGTCCGATTGAACACATGCAATGTAACACAACATGCTTATCTTTCTCAAGTTTTACTTATCACCTTTGTTTACTCATTTTAAATTACCAACTCATCCTTTAATTGGTTTAGTCCATTGGTGAGACTCCTCTAAAGAGAAACAAGTGTCAACCAAGGGATGATGTAAGGCAAAAGAGAGTTTATGTCGTTGATAATGAGCCCTCAAAGAGGATTAAACCATTAAGCATAAACTCAATCTCAAGCTTAAAGAATCCCAAACTTGAAACAACCCTCAAAAGCAATTGAAAGAGTGAAACAAATGAGGATATGACAAAGCTATATATACTGAAATCACATGCAAAATGACACCACTACATGCAACCAACTCAAGCAACTCATGACCAAAGCTTCAAAACACTAAGTTAGTGAAGGAAATTGCACCACAACTATACAAAACAAAGCTCAAATGACCCCAACAGCTTAAAATAGAGCTAAAGCAGGTCAAAACAGAGGGCAAAACAAGTTGGACTTAAGCTACAAATTGCTAGGAAAACATGCTAACATATGAAGCTATCTAGGCATGCAAACAAGACACAAGGAGGGGAGGCTAACCTCTCCAATTTTGGATTTCAAAACATGGTTTTTAAAACTGAAAAACTTTTAAAATTTAGTGGTTAAAAGGCCAAAAAAAGTTGATTTAAAAGCTTTGAAAAAAAAGGCACAAAAAGCTTAAGAGAATCAGGTAACAAAAGGGTGAACCACCCCTAACTCAAAAGGGGCCTTAAACCACCATTTTTAAACCATAAAAATAGAGATTTTTAGAGGTCAAAACCAGCTCAAAAACAGTATGTAAAGATGGTAAAACAAGTATTTAGAACAAGAGTAAAATACAAGTGTTCTACCTCTTGAAGACAAGATACAATTTGAGCAACAAAACAAGCCAAATCAAGCCAAAATCCTCTTCTAGAACTCAAACAAAACCCCAAGATACCTCAGCTCCAAGGTGGTCAAATTTGATCAAGAATTCATGTGCAAAAGTCTAGAGAAACTAGACTTTAAGGCACAAAATAACAAGAGAGAGTGAGAGAATTCTAGAGAGAGAGAATTATTCTCTCCAAATTTTTTTACCCCCCCCCCACATGCAAGAGAGGGGTCATATATATAGAAGATGCAAATTCCCTTCACAAAGATCTAGCCACACACGTGTTAGAAGATGCATGAACCTGTGCATACAGTTGGCATAAAATATCCGCTGGAAACACTGATAGCCAACAAAGCTTTATTGATGGCCGGCAAGCTAAAAGCCATGGCCGGCAGCCTTCAAGGATGCCCGGCAGGCCATCAACATCCTCATGCTGAAAAGACGTAAGCATGGTCCAAAGATGAAGTAAGAAGGATGCAAGGTTTGGAAAACTCAAACCTATGGCGTCCTGCTGCGGACTTCAAATGTTCGGTGAGCAATCAGAATCGCCATCGGGTGTACCTGCAAGAACATCGAAGTCTTAAAGGGCCATCAAAAATGGGGTTTCTGCAGCTTGGTTTCAGTACCTTCAAAGAAAACTCTTAGTTTTTCCCAGTCCTATGACTTTGAGGGGGAATGAAAGGCATCAATCACAGAGTTGCAGCAGAGCAGCAGTAGCCACAACAGCGGAGTAACCTCAACAGCAGTCATAGCATGGCAAAGTTAGAGCAGCAGTTTCAGCGGTCACGTGTGAATTACCAAGGTTAGTCATTAGTTTGTTAGAGATTTACTATAGTTTAGTTAGACAGTTATGGTTAGGTTAAGTGTATCAATCTTGTATAGATACTATCCCCTCAGTGTAATAGATTCATTCAGTAAAATCAATAAAGTTGACATCTTCTTGTTTTCTCTTTAGGTTTGGCATCATTTTAATACCATGGAGAGGGTAAAACAGCACCACCTAAAGGAAACAAGGAAGTGAGAGATAACTTTAAAAAATGACAAATACTTTAGCTTTGGTCCATTGGCAAGCGAGTGCACAAGGATGTCAATTCTTCCAAAGTCCTGTTTAACAGATTCAACAACTTCCTGCAAAGATATTTCAACTAATCAATTAACAGTAGAGATTCCTTAATTTATCTATTTGGTCTGCTTGATTTCTTGATACATTTCAAGGTCCACAAGTGTAGTCAGGAAGCTCAATATCCAAACACAAATACATATGCCAAGATTCACAATGCATAGTGCACGGTTCTTAAGCGAGTTTTGATAAGTGATTGTGCTCGTGAATTTATTGAATGTAATAAAATGGCTTAATTGAATAGCATGAAGATTAAGAGAAATGATACCTTAATAGTCCAGTTTGAGGACTGACCATGTTGTCACATTAGGAAAAAGTACACTAAGGAGTTTTTATTTTTTTGGAGTAAAAGTTTTGGAGTGTCATATCATACCCGCAACGTTGTCACATTTAGGAAAAGTATACTAAGGAGTTTTCAATTTTTTTGGAGTGGCACATTAATACTTGCCACATTGTAATATCACATCATACCTGTCACATTAATAAAATGATATAGCTGTCCACCAAAACACTACCAAAATCAAAAATTGAACAACACGGAAAGAAACTCTCCACTAATAGGACTTAACAGATCAATAGAAAAAACTTGGAACTAATTGGAGTACTTATTTGTGAGATGAGATTTATTGGTAAATATCCCTAAAAAGAATTGAACCCCATCTATAAAAAAAATAAAAATAAAATACAATTGACCCCCTAAAAGATTAAATGAAACAAATTATTTTTAAAAATTATTCTAAAGTGCAATTAAACCTTAAAATTTGTACGAACAATATTATATATTCATAAAGGTGCATTTATAGATCATATTTATTCTGTTTATAGCTCACATCACATTAATTTTAAATTTATACTATATATCTCACTTTTAGAATAACTTTTTCAATAAAAATTATGGTTACATCGATTTTTCCCAATTGCATTCAAGTGGCCAATTGCACATTTGGACATTCTTCCCAAAAAAATAAAATAAAAATAAATAAAAATTAGAGGAAATATCATTTTCCTCCGTAAACTATCATGCGTTTTTCACATTGAGCCCCATACTTTGATTTATTTCAATTTAGTACTTGAACTTTCCACAAATTGATCAATTAGACTCCTACCGTCACCTTCTGTCCACAATTGGACGGAATGTGATGAGTTGTCCCCCTGAACTATCTTTTGGGGGGAATATAAGAAGGTTTCCTTACAAAATAAGGTGGTGTAATAGACAGTTCAACTACGGCTTCATTGGGATCAAAATCAGTTTTAGGGTTTTGAAATTCCTTATTCGAAATCGAAATCAAAATCAAAGTTCATCATTGAACGAAGGGCACGAACTAACATTGAATCATAGGTTAGGTTCGAAAGCAAAGTAATCGACTAATTGTTTATGGTATTTACTTTTAATATTTGTTTAATTTTGAAGCTAATGATTATGAAAAATCAATTTATGATATAATACTATTTTGATTTGGCATTTTTTAGAATACATCTTTGTCTGTTTTTCTTTCAAAAGGATTTGTTTAATCGTAATTGTTTTACTTGAATAGTGTAATACTTGATTAGCTTTAGTTTAATCAGTCATTAAAAGAAACTCATGTATTATGTAATCCTTATTAAAAATCAATTTACCAAGAATACAGAAAACATAGTGTTTTTTTTTTATTTTTTATATTTTTTTATAAATGTATTCATACATGGATTTCTTCAATTGGAACCGTCTTATGGTAATAGTAGTTTAATACTATTTTTATTTATTTATTAGTATAATTAGTCGATAATAGCATATTTTTTCATTTAAAAATGCGAAGAAAGGATCTTGTTATTTCACAATCAAAATGCATCATAGGGGTTTGGTTAGTTATAATCCTCAGAGGGTTTATAGTGGTGGATTTATCAACTATTTTAACTTTTCTAATTCTGATGAGATATCACTTGTGGAGTTGGACAATATGGCCAAGGAAGTAGGTTGCACTGGATGTGACATCTATTACTATAAGGTTAATTACTGTGTTGGGTTAGAGTTAATTAACATTGATCAAGATGTAATGAGGATGGAGACACTTGTGGATGGAAATAGAGTAGCAGAGGTTTATGTAGGTTGTTTAGGAATAGATGGCGTTATAGATGCCCAAGTTAATCAAGTAAGGTTAAGTGCAAAAAGAATTCAGAGAAATGGAGTACTTGTAGATATACAGGTAGCAGAAGAGGAAGATAGTGCTGACTATGATCCCAATCCCTCAGACTCTTTCTCATTTGATAAGTCTGAGAAATATGATGATAGTGACTATGGATTTTCTGATGATGTGCATTGTATGAGGCTAATATTGACAAAGATCTAGAGTTTGCTGTTATAGAAAGTAGTAAGAATGCAATGACTGAGGCAGTTGATGACCTACAAAGCCTTAGAAGCTCCTCTGATGAGCTAAGAAGTATTGACAGCTCATCTGATGAAGGAGGTACTTCTCATAGGAGGCAATACCTTATTTTTAATGTTGACTCTGATATGCACAACTCTCAATTCAAACTTGGTATGGAGTTCAAGAGTCATGATATGTTTAGGGATGTTGTGAAGGAGTATGCAATTAAGTGGAGAAAACATATAACATTTATCAAGAATGACAAACAAAAGGTGAGGGCAAAGTGTAAAGTTAGTTGTCCTTGGGTTTGTTATGCTTCATATGTAAAACATGATGGGTTGTATAGGATCAAAACACTTGATGAGCACACTTGTAATAGGTCTTTTGATGTGGCATATGTGAGTTCCAAATGGATTGTCAAGAGGTACTTTGAAAGAATTAGGTTAAATCCTACATGGCCAATTCAGTCATTGTCAGACACTATTTCAAGTGAGCACAATGTGAAGGTTGACTTACAAAAAGAGAGAAGGGCAAGAAACAAGGTGCTGACACAAGTAGAGGGTACTACAGCTGAGCAGTTTGCAATGTTATGGAGTTACATTGAGGAGATTAGGAATACCATTCCTAAGACAACAATCTGCATAAAGGTGAAACAGATTCCAAAGGTTAATGAATGGACTAATCCAAGGGTTAGTGATGGGATCGATACAGAGTCAAAGTTTAAAAGGTTGTATTTCTGTTGGGGTCCATTGAAGAAAGCTTTTATGAATGTTTACAAGCTAGTTATAGGAGGTGATGGATGCCATTTGAAAGGGTCACATGGCGGTATTCTCTTGACTGCTGGTGGGATAGATGCAAAAAATTGCATATTTCCATTTGCCTATGTAATTGTTGAGAAAAAGAAGAAGAAAACATGGTTGTGGTTTTTAGAGTTGTTAGAACATGATCTGAATATTGTAAACTTTCATTGTTATACCTTCATGAGTGATAAACAAAAGGGTTTGATTGATGCAGTGGCTGAGTTATTCCCAAATGTTTCACACAGGTTTTGTGTGAGGCATTTGTACAACAATTTTAAGGGTAAACACAAGGGGTTGGTTCTAAAAGATCTGTTGTGGAAGACTGCAAGGGTAACAACTGTTCCTGCATTTGTCAAAGTGATGGCAGAGATTAAAGAAGTTGATTGTAAGGCATATAATTGGTTAGTTGAAAGACCACCAATTCATTGGAGTAGAAGCCACTTCAACACTTTTCCAAAGTGTGACCTTTTGCTAAACAATCTACGTGAGTGCTTCAATTCAAGCATCTTGGAAGCTAGGAGTAAACCTGTGGTTACAATGTTAGAGAAGATTAGGTTTGTCGTGACCCGAACCTGCCCCTAAAAGTTTAGGCCATGACCGGCCTGTACCTAGGCCTCAAAGACAAAATTTTCAAAATATTTAAATGACATCGGGGCCTAAAGCGGAAGCCAATCAGATGGTAATGCCCATTGAGCTTGTGCATACATGATAACTAAAATAATTAAAACAATGTAAACACACTAATATACATATACTTATATATGTATCTCACACTCATATACATAAAACTTGGGTAAATACAAAATTCTAACAATACAGGATTAAAGCCTCAACACAGATGTGCACTTGATGGCTTGACTTAACAGGTTCACAAAAGAATTCCTGAGACTGACCCAAGGATGGTCTCCAGATTGATCACCTACATACAGATAAAATACGGAGTAAGCGAAGCTCAATGAGTAATAATAAAGTGAGATGAATCAGATAAATAATCTAGATTCAAAAGTAGCATAACACCATACTCTTCCTCACTTACATCCTTCATAACATTATTCATGATTATATTTACCAAACGGCCTCAGGCCCACCATATAACAAAACGGCCTTGGGCCCAATCACATATCAGAACGGCCTCGGGCCCAATTATATATCAAAACGACCTCAGGCCCAATCATATATCAAAATGGCCTCGAGCCCAATCATATATCAAAACAGCCTCAGGCCCAATCATATATCAAAACGGCTTTGGGCCCAACACATCAATAGCTGTTTGAAACATTAGAGGGTAGATAGAACATCGACATGTCTCCACCTCCCTTGGCTTTCGGCCATGAGTTATAAACAATTCATATCATTATAGGGTAAATGGAACATCGACATGTCTCTATCTCCCTCGGCCTTAGAGCCACAAATCATAAATCATAACAGTTTTAGGCTTATCATTATTAATAGAACAAAACGACCTTAGGTCCATGTCAATGCCATTGTTTAATCATTTCCATCAAAATATAATTCACATAATGTATACCATTGCAATAAACACAATTCGTATCTAGGAAAAATACACGAATCCTGGCATTACTCATCCCAAGCATGCCAATCACAATCCTAATATGTAACCTGTAGCATAATGATTCCAACATACCAAGTGAAATCAAGATATATGAATTAATAATTCATAAGCAGAAATACAGTAATAAACATAGCATTACACTATTATTATCACAGTGGTCTAGGCGAGCAGTGGTCTCCTTCCGTCGGTGACCTACACATAGCACATGTACACAACGAGTAAATAACGCATTCTTCTATTTGTTTATTATCTCTTTAGTTTCTTTACTCACTTGTTCAATTTGTTTACTTTCTATTCATTTTTAAGCATTTTAAAGGGATTAAATAGACACATTAACAGTTTCAGAGGGTCAAACAGAACAAAAGGAGGTTGTAGAATTTCTCAACTTTGGCCGTACGCGCGGAAGTCCCTGCTACACTTGTGGGCAGGTGCGCCGCACGTGCCTTTTTAGCAGTGTGATTCCATTTCTCTCCCCTGTCTTCCCCACGTGCGGCTGTGAACCCCGCACGTGCGGTTATGCCTCCCACACGTGTGGCCATGGGCCCCGCACGTGTGGTCGTTTGCCCTGTTTTCTACAGTTCGAACATCACCAAAAAGCCAACTTTCCAAAGACATTTCTAAGGCAAATATGAGCAATATCTCTCCAATATCATATTATGTGAACATGATACGCATGAATTTATACATAAATAGGTCTTAATTTACCACAGCAACTTATACAACTTGTTAATCACATTCCTTTTCATCCTCCCATGGTTAACAAAATAGATACAAATATATGTGTGTCTATAGAAGTTTAATACATGCAAAGATTAAATATTAGAGGATAGATTTTCTTAGGTTAACACAAGAATCATCTCTTAACTAGATCAAAACAATGGCTCTTGATGTTTTCCATAGGTATTTACTAACCAAAGTGAGTGGTTCAAAACCCCAAGTTAGATAAGTGGAGAACATCATTCTCAAGTTGATACCAAACAATTGGAGTGAGATTTAGGGTATCGTAGTTAGGTTTCACATACCTTGTTCCCTATTCTTTGAATCTCCTAGCAAAAATCCTCAATCTCTAAGCCCTAGTTGCTCTTCTCTTCTTCTCTCTCTTTTCTCTTCACGTTTTTGTCTCTCATATCTTTTCTTTTCATTTTGTTGAGTTAAGCAAGGCTCATATACTTATATATATATATATATATATATACACGTAAGCTTATCACAATTAGGGAGCCAAATGCACCCTTACGAATCGCACGAAACCAAATTTCAATTAAACTTCCCAGATGACTCTAAAAATTATATTGATCATAACCATGCACTCTGTTATGGTTTTTAAAGCCTCTAAGGCCTTTAATTTGCAGTGCAAAGTCAACCACCCAAACGCACCTTAATGAATCAGATGAAATAAATTCCCAATTAACTTTCCCAAATAGCTCTAAAAATTCCCAATAGCATATCCATGTACTCAATTTTGATTTCTAAACCCATAAGGGTCGGCAATTTTAGTTTCAAGGTCGTAACTCAACAGATAATTCCTCAATTCAAACAGGTATAGGTAAATTAAAGCACATTAAACCATAATTAAATAAAGATAATTTCTGATACTCATTTTGGGGTCGTTACAAGGTTGTTGTTGAAGGAAATAGTTCAAAAAAGAATAGATGCAATGCAAAGACACAATGGTCCTATATGTCCTAAAATTCAAAATCATTTGGAGAAAATGAAAGTGGATGCAGCTGGATGGATTCCTAGATTGAATGGCAATGAGCAATTTGAGGTTGTAGGGCCATATGGTGGGTAATACAAGCTAGACTTGCAAGCTTGGATTTGTGGCTGTAGGAAGTGGGATTTGTCAGGCATTCGATGTGCCCATGTTGTGGCTACTGCAAATTTGTTAGTTCAAGAACCAGAAAAATATGTTCATCAATACTAAAAGATGGAGACTTATCTGAAGATCTATGACAATATGTTGAGTCCTATTAATGGTAGAGAAATGTGGCTAAGAACTGAGTATGCAAAGGTGCTGCCACCTAATGTGAAGAAAAGAGCTAGAAGGCCTAAGCAAAATAAAAGAAAGGAGAGTGAGGCACCAATTCAAGCCACAAAGCTAGGAAGGTAGGGCATTAAAATCACTTGTAATAATTGTGGGAAGGTGTGACACAACAGGAGAAGTTGCAAGGTCAATGGCAAATTCTATTTCATGCAAGAAAGCCAACCTGAGGGGAGCCAAACTGAACCAAGCCAACCTCTGGGGAGCCAAACTAAACCAAGACAAACTCAAAGTCAATTAACTGCAGAAGCACCTGAGGTCAAGAGACACATGAGACAGAAGAAACCGGCTATCAGTGTTATTTCTTCTTTTTTTTTTATAAAAAAAATAGTAACTTAACTATCCTATATTTGATTGTGTTTAATTGTGGATAATTCAATCTTATTACCAGTTAAAAGGAGAGTGGTACAAGAAAGTCAGTCAACTCCATCTCCAATGATTTCAACTAGCACACCAAAGGAGGGTCAAATGATGTGGAGAGGCAAGCTAGTGTACAAAGCTAGTGGCCTTAAAACATCATCCACTGGATAGAAAAATGGAGCACTTGGAGATTGGAAGTAGGATGCATCCATTGCACAGAAGATTGAAAATTTGTTTTTTTTTAAGAAGGAAGCATCTACATGACTTTCTCATTGGGGCTTTTTTTATATGTAATGACTTTTTGTTTGGAATGGTTTTCCTGAACTTATTAACTATGTAAAGGTAGTATTTTGGTTGTCACAAACAATTGTGTGTTTTGAAAAATTGAATAACAAATTTATGAATGTTGCTTTTGTGCATGATGCTCTGTTTTAATGGATGGTACTCCTCATTTCTATGTAAATGTAGCTTGTGTTGGTTTTGGTTGCCATAAGATGGATGGATTCCAATTGTGTGTTTTGAATGAATACCACTGATAGGTTTTTTATTCATTGAGTGAATGCCATTTGATGGATGGATGCCAGTGACAGGTATTTTTTTCATTGGTTGACAAGGGGCCATTCAAAGAGGCCACAAATTAGTTTTTTTGATGAATGGATGACAAATAGTTAAATTAATACACAATGCCACTGTTTTGTATATTTTTTGTTATTTTATATTAAATGATAATGTCCTGTTTTTGTAAGGGTGAACACAAATTGTTTTTTAAGGGACAAACAAATGCTGTGATGCTTTGTTTTTTTTTTTAAGAGTAAAACCTTAACACAAAATTTGAAATTTTCATTCAAAAAACTTCCCTCATTACATTTCATTCATAATATTTCCCCCCATTACATTCATTCATTCATTCATAATAGTCCCCCCCATTACATTCTTTCTTACACTACATTACAAACCACATTGATAAAATGATGCACCATGAGGCAGCCAAGCATATCCATAGTTTTCTCTCTCTCATATTCCTTGTCTGCAATCTTGCTTCTAGCTTATTAACATTCTTCAATAGCCTAGGGATGATTTGCACTGCGTGTGAGCACATAGGTGGGTCTACCTAGGTGAACTGATTACAACCATTAGTGGGACAATTGAGGAACCTCCTACCACGATTTGCATCAGTCCATGATGTTTGTATCAGCCTTTGTCTTCCATAAAAAATGCGTCTCAGGTCTTCCATGCCATTTGAACTCCATCTTTCTTCAATTGAGCTCGATCTTCCCTGATTTCTTAGCCCTATATTTCTCATCCTCTTTCACCACCGAAAAGATGCTCTGTTTTTTTGTTTTTATTTTTGGAACTTGCCTCTTTTATATAGTAAAAGGGAGAGGTTATATTCCCTCCAAAATATAGTTCAGGGGGACAGCTCATCATATTCTGTCTAATTGTGGACGAAAGGTGATGGCAGGGGTCTAATTGATTAATTTGTGGAAAGTTTAGGTACTAAATTGAAATAAATCAACGTGAAAAACGTGTGATAGTTTGGAGGGGAAAATGATATTTCCTCAAAAAATTAGGGCCTATTGTAAACATCTTTATGGGGCAATTGCATTT